ATGGAGGTCAGCATTGGAGCATCTCAAAAATGTCCACACGGTAATCTATTTCTGGCTAATGCGAAATTTTGGTTAGACATTCCTTACTTAAACCCCAGCGACTACAGCTCTCTTTTAATTAGTATTGGAGCATCTAAAAAAAATCACGCGGAGATCTAACTCTGGCTTAATTTTTATATATTATTTGCTCCAACTCCAGAAACTACAGCTCTCTACTGTAGTAGAACGGAAGGGCTGATTCAGCAAGGCAGGATATGCATCACTTCAGGAAATCCCAACCTTCACAGCGTTATTCTACCTAATGGGTAGGGAATCGTTAGCATTAAAAACGAATAAAACGAAGATAACTTTCAGAGCTTCTTCGGGCGAAGCACGACTTTGTAGTGAAGATAACGGAAATTTGCAGGATAGACTTTGTGATCAGTGATCAAGCCGCCTTGCATTTTGCTTACAATCCATAGCGGTGGATCTAAATGGATATACATGTACTAGTATGTTTCTTAATTTTACTAGTAGCTTAATAGTACTATCCGAGCTTCAACTGGTTACTGCAGTAATAGTAGAAGCGGAAATCGCCAAACTACTGGCTACTATAATAATATTTTTTGGTACAGCGTTCAAAAGGCGGTACCCAGGTTTGGTAAGAGCCTTGTCCAAAAATAGAGAATCGATCATTTTTTCTTATCTATTTTCCCCTATGAAAAACGAGGTGCCGAGATTACCTCTTTTTTAAAGAGCGAAAGTTTATTTGAGAAAGGATGCAGAGAAGGAGGAAGTTGCTGTGGGCACGAAAGACGCCTACGACGGCTGTCTGCGCTCGGAAGCACCACAGTGTCGTTGGGGAGTATAAGGACCAACAGAGAGCGCCTACAGATAGCAAGATTCAGCTGTAGTAGTACAGCGTCGATCTTCATAAACATTACACTACAGCGGCTGCAGAGGTCTTTTCAGTACACACACAGGCTCGCAACACGGAAGCGCTGGAGCGGAAGAAGGGCAAAGCCTCCTGGTTCATGAGGTACTAGCGGCCCCCATGACCAGGCCCTGGGTCTACTAGTGTACTCGTCACAAGCTGGACCTTCCGTTCATGTTTTCTTAGCTATTACGCGTCCTCGCCATAAGCCTGTACCCCGACGCCCTCTGTATGTGAAGCGGTGCTTTTGCACTTCCACGTGAGCATGGCGCCCCGCTCATCAGCTTTACTATCATTGATAGCGATTTTCTACAGCTATGGGAAAGCTCGTGAGCACGGCGTCGACTGCAAGGCGAACAGTTCATGGGCGCAGCGTCGCCCGCCAAGGTGGAAAAGCGCGTAGGCGTGACGTCCGCCGTAGCGGGTAGTAAGGATAGAGCTGTGTGGATGACCTGGACTCCGGCTATGAGTGCAGCAACGATACAGCACTCGTATAGCACTAATCCACAGATATCAGCTTTACTACCATTGATAGCGATTTTCTACGGCTATGGGGGAGCTCGTGAGCGTGGCGTCGACTGCAAGGCGAACAGTTCATGGGCGCAGCGTCGACTGTCAAGGTGGAAAAGCGCGTAGGCGTGACGTCCGCCGTAGCGGGTAGTAAGGATAGAGCTAGCGGTCTCAGACTACTCCACCGGACTCGTGTAGAAACTATTCCAGGGGAAGTTCTAGGTTAAGGGCCGACCGTGTGGATGACCTGACGTCCGGCTATGCGGTGCAGGGCCTCAGCCTGAGCCCTCACGTCGCGCCTGGTGTCGACACTACATCGACGGACAGAATGTAACTGCCGCCAAATTAACTGCCATTGCCAAAGATAAGAGCAATAAACAAGGATGGGAGGAGCGTGCACATGTTCATAAATGAACAGCAAATACAGTACTGCACCCCGTTTTCGCGGGAGTGGACCATATAGGATTTGCAATTAAACTAGATTTTAGCTTACAAATTATAGCTCATTTGGATTCAGGATCATCACATCCGGAAGTTTATCAAAGGTCCAAGGGCGCGAAAACGGGGTGCATTACTGTACTTAGGTTTTTAGCAAATCAGGTATTGTGCTTTCTACTCAAAACTTGACTGCCTGATTTATTAATCACCCGCGCTGAATGGCCTATGAAATCGTTCTTCCTACCATACATCACACGGAAACATTACATGCGACAGGTTTCCACACACTGCAAGCTCAGAGCAGAGCGCATCGGCAACGTTTCCCGTGTCAGCAAACGGTAATGGATCTCCGATCTAACGTCTCGCCTGGTAGCGCAAGAGGACCCCCACCAACGGGTGCTGCATCAGCTGATGGTGCACGCTGTAGTGGTCGAACACGTGTATCGCCACATTCGGCCCGTGTATCTCCATATCCTGAGCGTACTCGGTCGCCAACGGAGACTCACCCAGGTCCAATACGACGGCGTACACCTCCAGGCCGAGAAGCACTGCCAGCGACCACGACTAGGGCATACTCAACCCCGGGTCCAGTGTCATCTGCAGCCCAACGAGCATCACTTCTTGGAGCAGGAAGATCACCTGGTGAATCAGCTCAAGCTCGACCTTCTCCAGCCCCTGGTACAGCTAGACAGCCGCGGACTCCACGTTTCACACGACGTCGAGCATCACCCCGAGG